TTTATTAGCAGGAACGACGTTGTTCGCGAGATATCTCATCCACGGCGAAAGGGTTAAACGTTGCGCTTTGTTTATCTATTATAACGGTCACGTTGTTCAAATAATACTGCGTGTCATGTTACGCGCCGCACGATGCGTAATAACTGCAAACAGTAATTATTCTGGGAAATTGATCACATGTTATTCGCGCCAATGATTGAATAGTATCTTCCGCTGCTGGTTTACTTTTTCATCGAAAAAAAAAAAAAAAAAAAAAAAAACGTCAAATAAATATTTTTCGTTGGAAATTTTGTATAAAACAAACGAAAAATTCGGATAAATACGAAAGATTACAAAAGTTATTATAGTTTCAATATGTAATTAAAATTCGATTCGAGTTTTAAAAAAACTTCCGAAAAAAACAAAGAAATTAAAAATTCTTCAATCAAGACGCTTTCAAAAACATCTACCCCCGCTATGCTATCGAAAATGCAAATATCGAATCACAAATCGATATAATGTTCCTTTTTTACCCTCATATCGGATGCGTGCATCAAAGTGATATCGAAAATGCATAATGCTTAAAAAGAAAAACAAAAAAAAATAACTCATGAAAAAGATAATCAATCGATGCTCATTCTCGAATAATAATAAAAACCAAAATAAAAAAAAAAAAACAGTATGAAAAGAACGTAAATTAAAACAGAAATCGAAAAAAGGAAGAAAAGCACCGACCGTCACGAAAACTCGACGCCGAATCGCAGTTCGAAAAGGAAAGAAAAGAAAAAAATCCATAGCATCTTGGGGAAAAGCATTAGACCGAGGATAATAGGCCGTCGAACACGAGGCAGCCCGTAGGCCGATCACCCGATTCTCCCCGTGTGTTTTCGTGCGCCGACAGCGAGCGGAATCATTGCGAATTCTCGTAATTCCCTCCCATCCGTGGAAGGGTGGTTTCGCGGCCTGGCGCAGGGGTTGAGGGACGCGGATAGGGAGGGGTAGACGCCTCTCTTTCCTACGGCACGCTCGAAGCACCCAGGGGCAATTGAAACTCACGGCCATTTACTGCATTTCAATAATGGTTTCCCATCCTCCCCCCCCCTCCTCTTTCGTGCTACCACCACCCCAAGCTACGTACGTGGAACACGGGAGAGAGCGACGTTGGCTGCTCCGCACCCGCTCACAGTCGATTTACCGTGAGCTTTATGGAACACAACGGGGGTAGAAGTAACCAACGGCTAACTATCTCGTCTATGGACGAGTGTATTATTCGATCCGGCCCTAACACGGCCACGTGCCGACGTGAGCATCGTTTTACGCTTCCGGGAAAAATCGTTTGACGAAAAGGGGAAGCAAAGTGAGGGTAGGTACTTGAAAAAGATAGGTAAAGAAATATCGAAACTTTGAAATTTTCCACTTTGATTTGGATTTCGAAAATTATGTTTGAAGAAATAGGTAACCGAGGTGGGTTAGTGAAAAAGGTAACGAAACTTTGAAATTTTGGTGTTTGAAGTGAAAAAGTGAAGGAAGGAGGAAGTTGATGAGAAAGGTATGAACGTAGTGGATAATTTGGATTCTGAAAATTTGAAAAGGTATGCGCGAGGAAAGTGAATATGATGAAAGAAACTTCGAAATTTTGATTTTTGATTTGAAGAAATACGTTCGAATTATTTAATTAATAATCAGATAGAGATTGATTCGATCATGTACGATCGAAATTATTGTATCTTTATCGATCGAGTCGAACTCTCTATCGTCATTTTTCCGAAATGCGTTTAAAACGATTGTTAACGACGTTCGGAATAAAGTTAAAAATTCAAGAAATGGAATAACTTTGTGTAATCTAACTTTTAATCAACGTTACAACCGAGGAGTTGTGACAAGTTCGTTGGATTACAAAGTAACCTGGTAACAACTTCCATTTGAAACATTTCAAGAACATAGTTATACGTTTCATAATTTTGTGAAAGAGAGAAGAGAGATAGAAGAGAATTTAAAGAAAAAAAAAAAAGATAGAAAGAGAAAAGGAACATGAAAATTTACTTAAAGTATTCATAAAAATTTCTCTGTTTAATATATGTATCGTGGAGAATTCTTGTCTACTTTTTCTTTTTTTTTTTTATTTTCTTTTTTTTTTTTTTTTTTTTTCGTTCAATCCTAAAAGGCTTTGCCAAATCCATTTTCGAAATGGTTTTCGTTACCAGTCGGATAAAGTCTATCATGTCGAGCGGAGATATCTGAAAAATGTTTTATATCCTTCAACGCACCGAATACATCGGACGTCGTACTATTTTTATGCTAAAATCCACGGGGGGTTTCGATTTCGTTATACCGTTTCTGACTTATCGACATTCGTCTTCTATTTCTCGAGTTGCAAACGGATCCGTACCGTTCGTGCACACTACGACTTTACGAGAGATTCTAGATTTAACCCACTTTATTATCCCAAAATGGCCGATTTTAAATAAATTTAAAAATTCTGTTTGAAAAATAAAAAGAACCGCCTATTCTTTTGACCGTTCAACGATTCCAAGATGTTGATCACGATGATATACCTGAAATTAAAGAAATTTCTACTTTCGCAAAAATAATCTCTCCACTTGCACATTTCCATTAAAAGATCCAACGATAACCTATGATTTCTGTGATATCGCTTATTACTTAGCATTGGCGAAAGAAAATTTGCATCAATTTACCAATGCGCTTCATCGATTAATACCGATCCGAATTTTCCACGAAACGGGTCTAAATAATTGAGATGGATATTTTATCGTCTTGTCAGGTTTCCGTGAACACGAAACACCATGGTGGGTCGTATACGGGAGGGGAAAGGTACATGAATTCGGTGAAATTTGAAATCGGGTAAAATTGCCCGAAGGCAATGGCGAAACAAATTTCACCCATTAGCGACCGACGGAGGATACATGTCACGCCGCGGTTGTCATCAATACAAATATCTGCGCGAGATACCTGTCCATATTTCCGTCCTCGAGCCACGGAATCACGTGTGTGGTCCCATACACGGGAAAACCTCTCGAATTTATTCGATAAATTCATATACTACTGGCTGTGCTCTTGCTATGAATTTCTTGATCGTGTAAACCGTATGGTATATTATTTTTTTTTTGAAATATTTAGTTTAGATTAATATTTTATCATTTCTTTGTTGTACCATTAAAATACAAAATATAAAAAGTTATTGTTTTTGTCATGATTTATAGTTGATTATAAAAATATTGGTTGCTAAAGTATTTTTTGCCTAATTTTTAATATGTAATTTTTCATCGTACATTCTATTTTATTTTCAAACATTAAACTATCAGGTAAATTCAAAATATTAATTCAATAGATTCATATTAAATGGTTTCAACAATTATTGCAAGCATAATCTGCAATAACCTAAAATAATTTCGCTATTTTACGAGTTTTCGTAGCATCAAGACGAATAAGGGAAGTTTTAACGAGGTCAGAAGATACGAGACAAGTAGCTCGTTAGAGGTATTAACTCTTAAAAAAAAAATGTAATTTTTTTCAATGATAATGATTTCCTGAGAGAAACCGTGAAGGGAAGTGAAGGGAAAATTCAATTCTTTTTTTCATATGAATGCGACAAAAAACACATTACACGGGTGATCTATTTTAGATCTCGTGTCTGCGTCAGACAGAGCGGAGAATACAACGCGAGAGTGCTTCTGGATTTAAATACAATAACCCGGGGCTATTGTAAAAAATATACACGGCCACGTTCGCGCGACTGCACACAAATGGTCTGGCCTTATGCATGCGACACGATCGCTGGTATTTCTATTCGCCAAATTAATATGGGAAATTCAATCACGAGTACATATTGCTAATCTCTAATTTTTTCTCAATGATCCATTTTTAAGATGATCGTTTATAATATATTTTTTTCCAAGTAATTCCAATTGATTTTTTGTAATATTAAAGATTTAATAAATAGATTCTAAAGATCTATATTCGTATAATCTTTTTTTATCTTCGATAAAAATGAGATATGATAAATTTTCATTCATATTTTCATCCATAAAGTTTGAAATGTTCTTACACAGTGAAAAAAATTGTGTAATTTTAAAATATTTTAATTTTTTATCAAAATAAATCATAATTAATATTATGTAATGGAGAATCAAGGGACGATTGGTGAAGGAAAGGGGTTATGTGTATATACATATCTACGCGAATGCAAACGTGGCTGCGCATGTAATATGCGGTGTAATCGCATTCCTATGCATGTTACAAGCTCTGTAGATACAGTGGATTGTCTAATGGACGACACATGTTAAATATTCTGCCGGTATCGATACTATGGAGAGATTATTCTGATCCACGTGCTCGTGCTATTATCATTTGCCCATATCTCGATTTTTCATAATTTAATGGGGCTTTAATGTATTGAATGGATCGAACAAATATTGGAGAGTCACTTTGTAGATTAAGTTATCCATCATGTAACTTCCTATCGTTCTTTTATATATTACTTTGTTCCCTTTGTTTTGTTTAGTTATTTTGTTCTATACTTATAATATAATATATGCGCGATAAAATTTAATTTCTTTCATTTTCTGTTATGGAAATTTTGCCAATCTTTTAACAATGATGTTCCATTGTAAAATTTCAATCAATATTAAATGCATTGAATTATTAACATCGATGATAATTTTTCCAACGTGCCAATTTTTCCAATAAAGAGAAAATATTACAACGCATAGAAAATGCATTGTAAGTTCGAGAATATCATATCTATGACGTTTCAAACTTCATTTGAATACGAAATGTTATCTAAATGCTTGAGAAAGAAAAAAAGATTTTTCTTGTTCTATATATCTTTACGCAATCCCATCTTTGCATACGTTTGAATACTTTCACGTTAGATGCATTTGAACGTAGTTACATATGTGACAAAAATTCTTTTGTCGAATCCAGTTTGCAATTGTTCATTGTCTATCAAACGAGATTCCGAAAATATTTCGATAAAAAGTAAGAAATAATAACGAAAAATATCAAGATTACATAAAATATTTATTTTACAAGTAAACATCATTTAATTATATAAAATACTTTGTCAATTAATTTATCGCTATTAACGTTTTTTCTTTGCTTTCATCTGTATCCTACGACTTTTTCCTAATCTCTGTTTCGATTTTCCTTTTTTCTTCTTCAAATCTTTTCCTGGTAGTGAAGGTCTTTTATATTCTGACACATCTGCGGAACTTGCCCTTGTGTTTTTTTTGCTACCTCTTTTTTTACCACCAAAACCAAATTTGGCATCCCTCATTTTACGTTTTGCTGCTGCTTTTTGATCCACTGTTTTGCCTTGAGGTTTCTGTTTATCTTCTAAGAAATCAAGATCTTTTCTTACACCCTTACGGTACTTTTTGACCTCTTCTAATAATTTTCTCTTTTCTGCATGTTTTTTTAAAGTTGCTTCTATTTGCATTTGTTTTCCTATTTTCCTTTGTTGTCTCAATTGCCTAACCTTTTCTGATCTTTGCGCTATTGTCTGTTGTTTCATTAGGTTTTCTCTGACCTTATGCATATGAGCATCTGATTTTGCCATTTCAGCAAAATAATCATCTGGCCTGGTTGTTGGAATACCAAGTTTTTTTAATCGGGCAATACCCTCCATAACAGCAGCCTGTGCTTGTCTATGAAACATTGTTTCTCTACGAAAATCATTTAGAACCGGATCATCTGCTGGATCATATTGAGGTAATTTTTTATTCCCTTTCAATTGCTTTGCACGTCTGTCTTCCTGTTCTTGCATTTGCAATGCCAATTCTGGCGCTAAAGGTGCTGGTGCATTGATCAAGTCTAATCTTTCAATCCATGGTAAATTCAATTTAATTTCTTCTAGCTTCTTTTTCATAAGAGACTAAAAATGATCCCAATTATGATCCTCTCATTATTTTTTTGTATTCATAGATCTAATTATATTATACTTACAACGCAATTTTTTGGTGTTTTTTTATTTTTTTCAATTACTACATTTAGACCAGGTTTTAATAAACCTTCTGCAAACGCTTGCCTCAACTGTACACGTGAAAAAATATAGGTTAGAAAAAAATTATATTAAATATTTTGGAATATAAATAGTATTTACTTCTTCGTCTGATGAATTATATTCCGAATCGGATTCGGAAGATGATGACGCTTTTATAGCTTTTTTTACTTTCATTTTTTAACTTAAATTTGTCGAATGTATAAATTTAAAACTCTTATTGTAAACAGTATATTCTATGTATCCTTAGCGCTATCTATTGGGAATATAGGAACATATTTGAAACATAATGCTTAAATGATAAACTTTCTTAATGTTTTTAAATATTATTAAAACAAAACATTAAACATTCTTTTTGTTTTTGTAAACAATTTATTATATATTACAAAAACTGCATGTAATAATTTCTCTTTTGTATTATAAAAATTACTTTATTATAACGATGTTATTATCAGATTTATCATAAATAACGTTGTTTTAATTTTTAAAATATTACATATTTAAGATTTCATTAAAAAAAAAAGTATACAATATTTAATAAAAACAAAATTGGATCTTTTTACTTTCTATAAATGAAGACAATCATAAATTATTAATGTTGTCAATGATTATTTTCCGTCACAATAAAAAAGGAAATCTGTGTTGTATAATATAAGAAATAAATTTTATTTATCTTATCTCTAAATCTATGAAAAGTACACGAAACAAGATACGAACCAATCATATATAATTATTTCAGTCCAGATTCCATTTCTTACGGTGAAGAAATTCTAAAGTGAAGTTCCTATCTAAAATAATATATTCTATGCCAGAATTTTTTGTCACAGTTGGTTAACGATAGCGAAATATCATGACGGATAGTGATAAGAAACCTATGTCACGTTTATTGAAACTTGCTAACAAATTTAATTGCTTCTACCTGTCAGGTAAGTTGCATTATCAATATTTAAACATGTCTGATTTTTTTTTTTACGTCAATAAATTAATTTTCTAATGATTAGGACATAGAAACGTATGGCTTTCCTGTCTACTAAGATATTGATTTCGAGTTTGTTGTGTATTCTTTCTCATATTTTCAATGGATTAACAAAAACTCTGTCTATATTTTTTGGAAACATAAATAATATTCACAAAATTTATCGCGTCTATTATTTTTCTTATTATTTGTAAAATTTTTCCCATTTTTTTGATAATAAATATTTTGAATAAATTCTTGTTACATATACATATATACATATATTTATCAACGAATAAGAATTCGTATTATCTATATCCGATAATCTAGAGATATAATAATGTTTTGTTATATAAGTTTAAATATAAATATAAATATAAATCAAATCTTTAATAATAAAAATTTTTGGTATTTTCTTTTTTTAGATTTAAATGTAATGTAATTAATGTTATAATATGTTATATTTTTATAATAATAAAAATATATAATTCTTATTAAATTATCTTCTTATTAAATTAAATATAAAATTTATTTTATATTTTATTTTTCTTATATTATTTGCATTTTATAATATATATAAATAGATTTTATATATTTCTTAAGTTTTATGATAATGTATCAATAAATAATAATATTTGGATATTCATAATGCTCCTTAGGTTTTCATGCAGGGGAATGCAGAGCATTTGTTGTTGATGGTCAACAAGTTGGCCTTGTACGTCCAGATGTAATGAAAGAATTATTAAATTATCCACAGGTATTTATATATTGAATTACATAATAATTTATAGAATTTTAATATTTATTTTAAATATTGCCTTGAAGGTATTTCAAGTGCATCCTGAATATGTACAACTAAATCCAGCATTCAGAGACTATGCAGAAAGAAGTGCTCGAGTTGAAGAAGTTTTAAAAGAATGGCGTGCAGGTGGAAAATTCATAACATTAAGAGGATGGAGAGAAGAATGTTATGACGTACGGGCAGAATTCAATACTCCACCATTATTTAAAATGGATCGATCTGCTACATGTATGTATAATAATATGTATATAATTTTCTTAATATTTTTACTTATTCCAAAAATATTACTATTTATTTATTATAGGCTTATTTGGGATTCGTAAATATGGAGTAGATATTAATGGATATGTTATGGATCCTGTAAAAGGTTTATCAATATGGTTACAAAAACGTAGCCCAAATAAGCAAACTTGGCCTGGATATTGGGATAATATGGTGAGCGGTGGATTGAGTGTGGGATTTGGTATTAATGAAACTGCTATAAAAGAAGCTGGAGAAGAAGCCAGTATTCCGAATAATCTTATTGCAAAATTAAAAAGTGTTGGTTGTGTATCTCTGTTTTTTGAAAGTGAAAGGGGTCTGTTTCCCAATACAGAGTTTGTATATGACCTTGAACTGCCACCAGATTTTGTACCAAGTAACAATGATGGAGAGGTTGAGAATTTTGAATTGCTTCCAGTTAATGAATGTATAGAAAGGATACTCTCTTCGCATTTTAAAACAACATCAGTTCCAGTTGCTCTTGACTTTTTAATTAGACATGGATATATCACAGCAGAAAATGGTAAGTACACAATATTATATATAAATAATTATTAAATTGCAAATTGTATATGCAAAATATATTATATTAAAATATATTATTTATAAAACATATGATATATAATATATAATATATAATATAAACATATAATATGTAAAATATATGTTAAATTATCTCTATATACTTTAAAATACAATTAATCATAAATAAAATTCAGATTTTTTATATAAAAAACGTAAGAAAAGTAAAAATTTTGTCATTAAAATTTATCAAGAAATAGAGAAAATGCTATTAAAATTATTTTTTTTTTTATCTTGATATTTCATTTAAAAGTAATAGAGATATTAATGAATGAGTTTGTGATGTATATTTTTTCTTGGAAGTTTATACACTTTTAGAAATCGCATTTATTATTTATTTGAAATTTGGAGTAAGTTAATAAAACGAGGTGCAAGTGAAAGATTCGAGTGAACGACAAAGACGAAAATAATAAATGATTAAATATTATTTTTTTTTTTTTATATGACGAAATCTGAAGTCATATCGGGATAAATGAAAAATCGTTCGTTTAAAGAGAAAGGTTTCGCGCTTCTAATGATTCCTCACTTAGTGAACGGAATCTACTATTTTCGAAGTTATAGCAGTTCAAAGTTTTCCTAATGTTAATAAGCTTTAATCAAATTTTAAGTCTTATGTTTTAAATTAAGCATTAAATATTCATTTCTGGAAAAATATTATGCCTACAATAATCTTATTAATGATATATTTGAGATAAATTAATTTCAAAAATCATTTATTTGTCTTTTTTTATTTTTTACTTTGACTGATTCAAATTTAATTATGTTGATTATGTAAAATATATGAATATATGAAACATATGAAATATGAAAAAAATATATATTTATCTATTGATTATAATATTAAATATTCTAAAATGTTCATTTCTTTGTTGCAGAGCCTAATTTTATTGAAATCGTGGAATTGCTTCATATACCTCTGCAGACCATTTACAATCATCCACAAAAAAAATGTAAATTAGCTGCAAATGGTGAGGCAATCGATTCTTTAAACAGAATTTAAGTTTAACTAGTCTTTAATTTAAATTGCGTTAAAAAATTAATTGAATGAAATGAAAAGTTAGCTTTCTTTTGTGATTTTCTGTATTTTTTGTATTTGATCAATTCTTCGCAGATTTTATAGTAAGGAAAAAGAGAAAAAATAATGCAATTTTATATACATAAGGCTTGCAAAATATTTATAAATCATTAAATAATAGTTCAAATATTCCAAAAATCGATTTACAAGATTTTTATGACATTTAAATTAACTCTTATTTCCATGCATATTAGAAAAGAAAAAAAAAAAAAAAAAAGAAAAAAATACGTAATTTCAATAGCTATATACTGATTGTAACATTTTTACTCATAGATATAATTCTTTTTGTTATGATTCTAGTAGTTTTTATATATTATAATGATGAAAGTATCGGTAAATACGATTTTTTGATGATTCTTATAGGAAGAATATTTCGGAAAATAAACATAGATATTATTAACTTAGCAAGAATTTCATAGGAAAGATATATTTTAATTTGTTGACTGCGAATTTATTGACGTTTAATAACTTTGTAAAATTGGCACAATATATAGATATAATTTAAGAACTAATTTTTAACATCGTTATATAAAAAAAAAAAAAAAATCACGTTACATCTTCCTCTAATTTTTACTAATCATCGAACTGAATTTTTGCACAATAATGAAAAGAGAAGTTTTCGCCCATGTATGATATCTAAACTTGTGACGATTTTTGATATACATCGATGTCAAATTAGAAGTATTATTCATACAGCATTCCAGAGCATAGTTTAAGACTTCAGTTTCTAAGCGACATGGATAAAAAAACGAAAGAATAACAATAGTTTTTTCTAACGTTTGTAATCGAACTTTTGTACTAAACTTGTACACCTAATAACAACAACAAAAGTGCATAGAATGCCAATGCAGTAATATCGTAATATTCTGCGTAGAATTAAGACAGAATTCATTCACAGTATTATGGACGTGAATGCACAGTATACTGTTTGATATGTTTAAAGTAAGGAATTAATGAAAAAAGAAAAAAAAAAAAACAAAAAACAAAAAACAAAAAAAAAACAAACAAATTTATAGATGAATTATGTCAACGTATGTGTTCTTATATTCCAACTATGCTACCAACGAAAAATGCTTTAGATCTAGCATTTTATCTTGAACGACTTTTTTGAGAAGGGGAACAAAAGTGTTCGTATATTGTTTATTGTATGTAATACGTAGGTAGATTTTTTAATTGAAAACGATTGGTACTAAGGTTCTGATCAAGTGATATCATTAGATTTTGAAGAATAGTAATTGTATAAATGGCAAACGCAAATTTAAAGCATCGCATTTTTTGTATCAATGTTATGGATTAATATTTATTGCTCATTTTACTTATTTGAAGATTGTGGTTTAATTTATGTATTCATTGTTCTGTTCATCTAATGCACAGAACTTATTTTTATTTTCTTTAAAAGTCAACTAACAATTAAATATTTTTGTAAGATATTTTATTTAAATGATGCTTCGTACTATTTGCATTGCGTATGCCCTTAAGTTAAGAAATTTTTTGATACTGAACTAGTTTCTACGAGATGAAAAGTCATTAGGTGTGTTGAATTCTAGATATAAATTGTTGTTAAGAATTCAACATTACAATCATTATAATTGTGTTTTTAAGAAACTTTTCTACTAAGACTAAAATATCTGTATCGTGACGTATTATGTTAATATATTTGCTTTCTTTCATTGCTTTTATTTTTTCGTCTATTTTGCTAGATGAGACATAGTTGAAATATCCGTACAGCTTAATCTAACTTTATTTAATCTTCATTTGTACTAACCTCTGATACGTTTAATTAAGTAAATTCGCTATTTTTATAATTATATACTAGTCATTCTTATCATTGCTTTATAATTTCTTAACAATCTGGTCATAAAATTGTAGTATCTATGATTATGTTTGTTTTTAAGTGAAACTAACATTTTTGTGATAGAAATGAGTACGGCTGGCCATACTATTTAATGCATGAATTAATATTTGTCAATGAATAAATTTAATTAAATTTAAAAATGTCATCGTTTCTATCAATGACACCTGAATGGCCATCGTTCTATTTTTCTTTTTCTTAATTTTTTTTTTTTTTTTTTAACATAGAAACATATTATGTTTTTCTTTTCTTTTGTTTCTATTAATCATTAACAGAATTAAAATGTAAGGCGAATCTTCTATAGCCATTTTTATTCGTTGCATAAATGTTGTACTTAATTTTCATAGTCTTTTATATATAATGAATTCTCTGTTATAAAATATAATAATGTAACAATCATTAAAACAAAAAAAAAAAAAAAAAAGAAAAGAATCAGTTGCAATTATACATTAACTCAATAAATAAAGTTCAAATATTTTGTATTTTATCATTTTATCCTTTTCCATGTATTCAATAGATTTTCCTATATTTTTAATAATATTTTATTAAATAATCAATAACACAATAACAGTTTTTGATAAATTAAAGATTTATATTTCAAAAATCTAGATAATAAAAATATTTTTCAACGAGAAAGCAACTATAACAAACTAGTGGGGATGTTCAGAAAAAAAAAATATAGTAGAAGCTTGGTGGGGAGACTTGACTTTGTTGGAAGAAACAAAAATCGACTAAATCACTCCCTCTTTGAACATCATTGGGGTAACAGTTTCGCGACTACTCTTTAGCACTTGTACTTCCTGTTAAAGTTTATATTCAAATTTTTTATTTGTTTTCAATTAAAAGTTTTTAATTAGCTTTAATTTCAGTGAATAAATCAAACGAAACAAGTGTTGTGTAAAGTTTTATCTTGTTTATCAGGTATAGTGAAGAAATACTTTAATAACTATTTCTTTAAGAAACAATTATATTTATAAACATTAATTTTTTTTATTTATTATGATTTTATTAATTTTTCTGCAATGAAAACTATCGAGATTGCATCATATTGCGAAACATCGTATTTTTATTTTTTTCTGTTATTTCTCATAAAATCCATTAATTTGATCAAATTTTGATAATTTAGAAATTAACTTAAGATAAAAATTAGCGAAAATTTTTACATAGCAAAAGTTTAATTTTTCTCCTATTTTAATTATTTTTATGCTAATAACTTTGTATATTTTTTATAGTAGTATAAAATAATATATCATTGAATAAAATTTTGTCAATTATTAAGTTAAAATTTATATTTAATGTTAAGTTAAAATTTTCATATTTGTACTTTTTTTTAATTCATTTGCGTTCTTTTCTATTTGATAGTAGATTTTTGACTATGGATTCTACGACGTTTTCACTGAAACAGTCTACATGTCCTTTAACAGTCACGAAAATTTCATCAAGACTTGGATATTTCATACATTTGGCGATAGGTGAGTTACTTCATTGCTATATATTTTTTATTTTGTACGAATGTAACGAAATCTCAAAACTATAATATATATAATCAAAATTGTATACCTCACATTATATATAGAATTAAATTACAAATTTTTTAAAAATATGTTATAAATAGAATATGAATGAATAGAAAATAGATATTTAAATAATTAAATGAATATTGATCAATAAAATCAATAAAAAAGATCTGATGCATTTGTAAATGCATTTGATAAATGGCGATATAATGAAAATGAAATTTTCTTTTACTGACCTTTTTAAATTTGATGTCTAAAAATAATTGAAAACTTGATATAACGTAGCTTAAAGTGTTTATTCCATAATTCACATACAACATATTTGCACTGAACACTTTTTTCACGTTATTTTTTATTAAACACTATTTTAAACAAATTGTAAATTTATATTACGATGTACGTTCCACAGTTAACTGCGACAAATTTAAAATTATTTCGTTAAAGATTTAAAATATCGATATATGAAAGTGTTTCATTTCGATTTTAGGCTCATCGATATTAAAATTTTGAAATTCGATATTAAATTAGCATTGCGCATGCGCGTTCATATTCAGCAAATGGTTCTGTACAGTTTTGTGTGGGTGCTATTCTTGCATTTTGAATAATAATTTTAAGTTGAAAAAAAAATGTCGACATTAGTAAGCAGAAGAATTTTTGCGCATTTTTGTAATAATCATTTGAAAAAGTCGTCAATGCGTTCAAGAATTGTTAGTTTTAGTTCTATTGAAAATGAAAAGTCTTCCAACCTAAAAGAAAATGCAAAAAGTAGTATGCCGGCTTCAGAACCAGGCAAAATTTCTGCTGCAGTTTTGAAGAAATTCTCTGATCCACTCATTTTAGAAAATATTGAATCTCCTAAAATATTGCAAGCAAATGAAGTAAGTTTAATATATAAAGATTTACAATTTTAAATGACAAGTTTTAAAGTATCTTTGTTCTATTTTTAAATATTTTCAATTGTCTAATATCAATTTTCTAATAATTGAATTAGAATTCTGATATTTTAAACTAGACAATGTTTTTTATATGTTTTATATCATATACAATGATATTATTTATATAAATAATAAAGAGGAACTTAATATAAAAAACAATAAAAGCAAAATGCACAATAATTTTTTATATAGCTTAGAATTAGACAAACTAATGAATGAATATGAAACTATTATAGATTTAATTAAAAATATAAAAAAATTTAATAATTTTCTAAAAGTTAATTTTAATATGCTTTTATTTAATAAGATTATTGAAATATCTTATATTTTTTTATGATAGATTAGATTATATAAATTAAATTAAATTTAAATTTAAATTCTTTCTTAAAATTCTTTAAATTTAAGTAATTTCTTTTGTAATAATAAATCAGACTTTAATAAATTAGACTTAGATAGATTTCTTATTAAAAAGTAAATGTATCTTTGCATTGATAGGTCCTTGTAAATGTTGATTATTGTGCTTTCAATGCATCAGATGCATTATTAGCAAAAAATTTACATACATTTAAACCAACTTTACCTATGGTACTTGGTTATGAGTTTGTTGGAAAATTGATTCAAGTTGGGGAGGAAGCAGAAAAAGAAGGATATAAAATTGGGGATAAGATTATTGCTCTTAATAAGGAACGTTATGGAGGTTTAGCTCAACAATGTATAGCAGAAATTACTGTAAGCTGTTCAGATTTTTTTCAATTAATCATTTGTATTTTATTCTATTATAAATGCAAAATTTTAGGATATCTGGAAAATACCATCTGAGATAAAATCTGTTGATGTAGTGGGTTTACTCGATGATTATATTACAGCTTTAGTCGCATTAGAAAATAAAGTTAGCATTCTAGAAGAAGATATCATTTTTATTAATATTGGTATAAGTAGCACTGGTTTAGCTGCAGTTGATCTTGCTACAAATGTATTTAAAACTCAGGTTAGAATTTAATACTTGAGATTTATATGTATATATATCAAATAAAAAGTCTAATGTAGTCACTTTTTGTTATAAGTTCGCGATGATTATTAATTCAGGTAATTAGTGTTTGTGCTACTGAAGATGGAGCAGCTCTTGCTAGAGAAAAAGGTGTGGTTGCTTCTTTTAAATATAAAGATCGTAAATTATTAAAACAAATTGAAGAAATTGCTACAGAGAAAGATATTAAAAAAATATTTGATGATGCAAATGGCGAACATTTAAAAAAAATATTAAGTTGGTAAGTTTAATGAGAATTGATTCTTATGTGAGATTTTAGTTAAATTAAAAGCAATGGTAGTAACTATGTTATATTTTTAGTTTTACTAATATTTACAAAAGTGAAATAACAATACAAGATTTGTTACGTGATGATAATTTTGCTGTTATATTACATCATTTTTCTCACGAAGGTATAGAAATAATTTAAAAATAATAATCATTTTAAATTGGACGATTTATTCAATGTTTTTATTATAAAGGGAGGATAGTGATTGCTGGTACAACAGCAACTATAAAAAATGATTCTGATGCATCAAAGAATGGTTTTACTATTAGTGGATTCAATTTAAGAGAATTTAGGAAGGAGGAGCCTGAGATATATCGGTATAATAATTATTACTAAACTAAAATGTTTCATAAATTTTATTTCTTAATAAATTATTAAGAAATAATAATAATTATTAAATCATAATTAAAAAAAATTAGATTTAAATTTAAATTATGTGATGTTCTTTTAATTTTATATTTGTTCAACTAGACAAGCCGGAGACGATGTTTTACAATTTATTGAGGAAGGTTTGATTAATCCAACATCTGTATTGACTGTTGGATTGCCAAAAGTAAATGATGCATTGGAATTTATTCTTAATAATAAATCTCCAGGAAAAGTGAGTGTGAGAAATAAAATTCGTTAATCACAATTATTATTCTATCGATTATATAATTATGTTCTAATTATTTAAAAAATTAAAAATCATTTATTTCACAGGTAATTGTTGATATAAAAAATAGCTAGACTAAATTTAAAGCGAAGAAAATAATATTTTATAAATATAAATATTTTATAAATTTTTTTATTAAAAAAATACATGAAAGTTTTATCATAATTTATCGTAAATAATAGTGCAATTAATAAAAGATACTGAATATATTTAAAATTTAATAAACTTTTTATTAAATATATAAAAATTATATTAGAAATAAATCGATTGTACTTTATTTCTTAATAAATATTTTCCATTTTCTTATGAGATAGAAAATTGAGTACACAGTAAGTATCTTTTTTTCCTACTTATTTCAAAATTTGCAATCTATCCAAAATTAATTACAATCAATTTTTATTTTCATAATTTTTTCCTATATTTTGACATTATTTTGATTTACTTGTATCGTTCGAAACAATGGAAAATTGCAATTGTTCTTAGGTAGCACTAACTTGAATTGTGGTCATTATCGATTGCTCAACACCCCTTTATCGAAACTGGAGCATTTTGTTGCCGTGCTACCGACGAAAGGAAGCACGAAGTAAAAGTCTTGAGAACGGTCCTTCGTGAAATTATAAATATGTTCCCCTTAATGGTAGCAAAGAATTTTGTTGCGTTCCTTTGTCAGGTTCGATTAGAGGTGAAGAAAAGTGATTGTGCTCTTGTAACACACAGTTGACAAGGTGATACACATGCATTTCGATCTTAAGTTATGAGGCCATTATCGGTACTCTGGGAATAATGATCCAAGATTGGTAGAAATTCTTTGATCTTTTTCTTCTTATACGTTTAATGTAGTTAGAGAAATGTTGAGTATGCAGAAAATTGATCAACAAAAAACGAATATCATTATATGCATATTTTTCTTTAGATAAATAGTTGGTAAATTACGAATAGCGTGAAAAGTAGGTTGACTATTTAATTACACTGTTCGAAAGGATTGTCCTTTCGATTTCGTTCACTACGGGGGTCGAATGACAGCAGGGTTAAACGTGTTGATTAATTGATAACCGTGATTTGGGATCGTAAAGTGGCGTGGGTGCTCCAGATTGCGTAAATCGAGTGACTCGATATGGCCCTCGGGCAAAGTCCTTGTAAAATTATTTTCAGTCGAACAGTCTCAGAAAATATTTCTTTTTTTAATTTTTTTATCATTAAGGATAGTATCAATAATATATTTGGCATTCCATTTATGAATATAAAAATTGTTTTTGTAAACGAAACAAGAAAAATTATCCATTAAAAAAAATGAATTAATATCGAGAATTATAATTGGTTCAAGGGATTCTGGATAATGATATAGACGTGGTGAGACACAATTTCAATATTCGATCGTCCATTGAAGCTGATATCGCAAACTCCTTATGCAAATAATATTGCTTTCTCTGAAAATCTTGTAGCTTTAATCTGACCGAGGAAAAGTGACAAATATCGCTTTTATCCGAATCTTAGTCACGATTTATCCTCATTTGAATTATCTTATTTCGTTTTTTGATCATTTTTGTAATATTTTTTTTGATCTATCTTTTTTTATTATTCTTTTTTATCTGTTTAAATCAAAGATTTTATTCTAGTTAATTAATTGTAACTAAGTTATGGTTGTATTAAACAAGTAAAGCCAGATTTTTAATTGAAAGAATTTCTTTTTGTTGTTGCTATTCGATCCCGCGTAACTGGATCTGGGTTTTCATTAATTAGTCGTGCTTTATGATAATAAGTATTATGATAATAGAAAAGACTTTTATGCTTGATGAAATTCTTTTCAATTAGATGAATTTTTATTATTTATTTAAGATTTATATATATATAAATACATATTTTTCATATTTATGAAAAAAAAAGTCAACTGAGATTTATTTCTGAAGACGACTTCTATTCAATAATACGAATAAATTGTATTAAAAAAAATTGAATGATAATTAAAATCAATTTGAGAAGAATTTTCTTAAGTTACCTACTATAAACAGTTTACCTCTTCGCTACTTCATATATCCTGAGAACGTGAAA